AGGCTAATCCTCCGCCTTGCGGCGCCGGCACACCGGGTTCTAGTTCCAGTCGGGGCGCCGGATCCTGTCCCCGTTGCCCCTCTTCCAGGCCAGCTTTCTGCTGTGGCCCGGGAGTGCAGTGGAGGATGGCCCAAGTGCTTGGGCCCTGCACCCCATGGGAGACCAGGATAAGTACCTGGCTCCTGGCTTCGGATCAGCACGGTGCGCTGGCTGCGGTGGCCATTGGAGGGTGAACCAACAGCAAAAAGGAAAACCTTTCTCTCTGTCTCTCTCTCTCACTGTCCACTGTGCCTGTCAAAAAAAAAAAAAAAAAAGACTTATGTCTGAAGTGTGAAAGACAGAACAAAGGGGAAGGATGGCAAACAAGTGCTTTCTTCCTGAAAGCGGTTCAAGGAACTGGTGGTCCTTACACCTTAAGGAAGCTGATAAGAAAAGAAGCTAGCCTAGCCTCACGCCAGAGGCAGGAAAAAGAAGTAGCAAAAATGAGGTAATACTTACAGAGCCTTAGGGAAAAAAATCAAAAGATGAGGAAAAGGGGAAGGAATAATGTAGGCAAAGAGAGACATGATGATAGAGATCTATTTTAAGAACTGTCAGAGCATACACTGAGTACAGTGGTTGAAACCATCAGAGTGATTAACTTGGCCCTGGACAAGAACTCTGGGGAACCTCAGTGCCTAGGGAAGAATACTTTTTTCATCAGACCCTGGGAAATTCTAGTGCCTGCAGTGAGACTCAAATCTATCTGCTATATCTCCTAGCATAGTCTCCAAGGCATTCATTCATTTACCTCTTTCTAAAGACCCCTTGCATGCATAGATTTAAAAACTTTTTACACCAAAATAAACATTTTTTAATTTAATTTTCTTTGAACATTCATTTTGAAGTGTCCTTGCAGAAAACAGGCTTATTAATTTACAAATGACACCCAGCTGGGAAGAAAAGTGCATTTGATGACAAATTAGAATTTTGCAAAAAGGAAACAAAATGGTGACAGATAACAGCAGTAAACACAATTAGCAAAGTGTTTTTTATAAAAAAAAAAAAAAAAAGAGAGAGAGAGAAAAGCATTAACCCGTATTAACTTTCTTTCTGGTCTCCAAACACTCTAATCTAATTCCTGTATTGTGGCCTTTGCACTACTTTTTCCCCTGCTGGGGCTGTTTCCCTCATTTGGCTGCCTCCATTGTGTCCTTCAGATCTCAGCTCAAAGATCACCTCTTTGGAGAGGCCTCCTTGAGCTCCCCACCTTAAACAGCACCATCTTCTGCCCATCTGCTAAGTTATCGTTGCTATCACTTTACAGCATTGCCTTCATTGCATTTATCAAAGTCAAGCCAGTTTTCATTTCATGAAGCTCCACTAGAATAGAACAGGTGTTTGCTTTTGCTTAATGTCTGCTTCTCTGATAAGATGCTTTGATGGCATTCACAAACACCACGCTTTCCACATCTAGACTTTGCCTAGACTTAGTATGCATTGTGGGCTCCAAATTCAATTTCCTTTCTTTTCTTTTTGGGAGCTGCAGTCTCCAAGCTTCTTCTACAAACTAGAAAGAAAGCCACTGGTGAAAGAGAGAACAAATTGGGAGGCCATTGTGTGTTCTCTGAATGGTGCAGATTCTTGTTTTCTGTTTTGGTTAGCAGAAAGTGAGGGGAAAATTGCTGAATTCCCACATTCATTCTTGGCAATGGTGACTTCCCTCCATTTCATCTGACCAAATAGCTTCAGGCTAGGCATTGCAACTGTAATTCAACTCCACTGATTTTCTAATACTTTATGGAAAATCGTCTTACTTTTGAAATAGGTTGACTGACATTTTTGATCTTTTGATTCTGTTTGTAGCATCTTCATAGCTATTGTAGAGAAAAGTTAAGGGGGTTGCTTAAGGGCTGCTTTTTAGACAACATTTTTTAACAAAAATATTTATTTATTTATTTGGAAGAGTTACAGAAAGAAAGAGACAGAGACAGAGAGGGAAAGAGATCTTTCCTCTGCTAGTTCACTCTCCAAATGGTTTCAAAGGTCAGACTGGGGTGGGAAATGGAGCAGCTGGGACTCAAACCAGCACCCATCTGGGACGCAAGCACTGCAGGCTGCACTGAGCCCTATTTAGACAACATTTCAACCATTTCAATCGCCTACTCATAGCCTATGGATTTCTTTTATATGTGTTGTTGGCTAGATGGGGCAGTCTATTTGTTGGTCCTTTAAATACGTAAGAGTGACTTTAAATTTACACCTTTTAACTTCACTACATAGATTTCACTTATTGTCCCAACCTGTTGAGATCTCTTTAGGATTAGAATTAGGCTTTGTTTTGCTTAGTTATACACAGCTCTGGAAATGTTAATGGTTAGAAATTTTGAAGTGTTATTTAACTCTTTCTTTCCATATTTTAAACAAATTTTATCTGAACTATAACTTACATGCATACATATATTTACTTATATTTAATTAAAGTATAACTTGCAGACAGATTTACACGTATATACTTAATTAAATTATAACAATTTATAAATCTTAAATATAACCTTACTGAATTATATAGCCAATATCCACTAAAAATATCAAATTACTAGTAGGTTGTAAGAACCCTTGTTTGGTCTCCAAATTATTATTAATTCTATGCTGTTCTCTAGAAGTAATCCCTACCCTGACTTTTGAAACAATAGATTAGTCTTGCCTATTATGAAACATTACATAAGTGGAATCTTAACAATACTTTTTTTTATTTTGGGATATCTGGCTTCCTTTAATGAATGATGTGTTTGTGAGTTGCATCTTTGTGGTTTCATTTATCAGTAGCTAATTTCTTTCTTTCTTTCTTTCTTTCTTTCCTTTTTTTTTTTTTTTTTTTTTTGACAAGCAGAGTGGACAGTGAGAGAGAGAGAGAGACAGAGAGAAAGGTCTTCCTTTGCCATTGGTTCACCCTCCAATGGCCGCCACGGTCCACGCGCTGCGGCAGGCGCACCGTGCTGATCCGATGGCAGGAGCCAGGTACTTATCCTGGTCTCTCATGGGGTGCAGGGCCCAGGCACTTGGGGCATCCTCCACTGCACTCCCTGGCCACAGCAGAGAGCTGGCCTGGAAGAGGGGCAACTGGGACAGAATCCGGCACCCCGACCGGGACTAGAACCCGGTGTGCCGGCGCCGCAAGGCGGAGGATTAGCCTAGTGAGCTGTGGTGCCGGCCAGTAGCTAATTTATTTTCATGCTGTTTAGTATTTTGCTTTATGAATACACCACAGTTTGTCCATTCTGCTCTTGAAGGACATTAGCTGCTGCCATTGTTTGACTCCTATGCACATCATTGCCGTGAACATTCCTGCGCATGTCTTTTGCTGCACGTGTGCACACATCCCTTTGGAGCATATCCCTAGAAGCAGGATTACTGAATCTGTGGGTATGAGAATGCTCAGCTCTAGCAGAAACTGACAAAGTGCAAGTACAAATTTGCACTCCTGCCTGCTGCATATCAGAGGTCTAGCCATTCCACAACTTCACAGTTCTTTTGTCTTTAATCATGAATTTTAACTATTCCTGTGGTTGTGTAGTGATAACTTAGAGTGGTTTTAATTTGCATTCTCCAGATTATTAATAAGGCTGAGTCATATATTTGTGTGCTTTCTGGCCATTTGCCTATTTTCTTTTGTGAATGCTTATTCAAATATTCGCCCATTTTTTGTTGAGTGTACAGTTTTTTACATGTTTTTCATATGAGCCTTTTTGTCAGTCATACGTATACTGCATGTCTTCCCTTACTCGGTGGTTTACATTTGGATGAACAGAATTTCCTAATTTTATTCATCTTTTATCTCAAGTTCTAAAAACTAGTTTTATACAAGTCTTAGTATTCAATAGTACAGTTATTTTAACCATGTTCTTCTTTAAGGTGTTTTGAAAACAATTGTGGAAATGTTGGTTGTTTTTCTTTGTGCATTTTTTTCTATTAGGTTATAATCCACTAAAAGCAGGGTTGTTTCTTTTTTAACCAGGAAAATGGTCTACAAATGGGGAAAATTTCACATCTATGTGATAACATCTTTCTTCCTCTGTTCTGTACTGTTAAGTAGATTAAAATCCTTGCTAGAGCCCAAGTGGAATCTATAGCATTTCTGGTACACTTTGTACATATTTCATCATAACTGGAGGAATTTATAATTCACTTAGTAAACATGTAACCCTGTTTTAACCCTGGAGAAACCCAAGGCCCTCTGCTTTCAATGGATGTCCTTAATTATCCAGAATTAATTGTTTTCTAGCTTTGTCTTATGGGGATACACGGCTCAAAATAATATTGAAGTATTTTGCTTCTTAAATCCACAAAGTTCTTCCTGGTTGCAAAGTAGAACATTTTCTATTTCTAATTGATGTCGCTTCTGCATACCTAATCCTTTACAGAAATGTAGAACTCATCAGCCTGCTGTGTACACTTCTTGCCAAACTCTTAAAACTCTGTTTTGTCTCTTCTGAGTCCTCCTGTGACCTGTTTCCAATTATCTTAAATTTTCTAACTTTAAAATGTGATAATAAAAACTAGATAAAACAGATAACATTTTTCAGACTATGAAATTAACATAGTTCCCAAATACTTCTTTCCAGTATCATGTTGGCTTTTATAAAGCAAAGGGTCTCCAAGTGGTTTCATATTCAGCTTATGACCCACAGAATGAGGTTGGCCCTCATTAACAAAGCAGAAGTCTGCAAAGGTGCTGACTTCATGGGAGTGTGTAAGTAGAAACTGTCTAACATCTGTCTGCTATGGTGTTGGCTCTTTAGGAATGGGATTGGACTGGACAGCCTCTGCAATCTGAAGAAAAGGTTCCTTGATAGCCAAGACATTTCTCAACAACATTCCCTCAACCTGCACTTAAATTTCATTTCTGGTACTAGTATATTTAACTAGGATTGTTCCAATTCTGTGTCATCCCAATCTCTAATGATCGATCTTCTTTCAAATCCTACTTGTAGCACTCCACAAATATAACACAAACTCACCAAATGCCCCTGCGTCTTCATTAACACCACTATCGGACAAGCTGCCTTCATCTGCTTCCCTACACTGCTGTGATGTTTCCAAACTCTTCTCCCAGCTTCCGTTCTTACTCCATCCTGCCCTCCACCCATTGTGATGCTTCAACTGGGTCAATCTTAAAGGAACATAAGGCATATTATACACTTTCCAGGGAGTCTCACTGCGTAGAGAATAAAATATAAATTTCTTACTATGACTTGTCCACTTCTCCAGCCTTACCTGCCCACTCCTTACTGACTTAACTCTATCTATCCTCATCTTCCTCTTTCCCAGGCACACTCTGCTCATTCCTGATGCAGGGCCTTTGCAATGGCTAATCCTTCTGCCTAGAATGTACTTGCCTTTCATCTTTACACAGCTGGTTCCATCTAGTTCCTAAGCAAGACCTTCTAGGCCACCTGATCTAAGTGAACTTCATTCCTCCATAGTTATTTACTTTCTTTTTTTTTTTTTTTTTTTGCTTTGTTTTGATTTGATTTATTTATTTGAAAGTCAGAATTACACAGAGAGAGAAGGAGAGACAGAGAGAGAGAGAGAGAGAAAGAGAAGTCTTCCATCCACTAGTTCATCCCCAAAACGGCCACAATGGCCAGAGCTTCACTGATCTGAAGCCAGGGGCCAGGAGCTTCCTCCAGGTCTCCCATATGGGTGCAGGGGCCCAAGTGCTGGGGCCATCCTCTACTGCCTTCCCAGGCCATAGCAGAGAGTTGGATCGGAAGTGGAGCAGCCAGGACTCAAACCGGTCCTCACATGGGATGCCGGCACTGCAGGCCACAGCCTTACCCGCTAAGCCACAGCACCAACCCAGTTATTTACTTTCATATTTAAAAGACACATAAAAAATCATGACTTGAAATAATCTTTTCAGTGTGTAATTTTCCATTATTTTTTGCTGTCTCACGTGAGTACAAATTAGTTGGCAGAGCCTTACACAGTGCCTAGACAGAGATATTCTGCAATAAGTGTTCACTGAATGAATAGTGAGTTAATAAATAGTGAGTGAACCCTTTCCGATGTAACCATTCATCCCGCATTTCCCCCTACTGTCTTCCTCCTGATTCTGATTTGCTGTTGTGAAAGCATTACAGATAATTTTTATTCTAGAGTTTGTCAAGTACAGACTGCTAAAGTCTCAACTTGCTTTGTGAATTCTGAGTCTATTTATACACAATTACACAAGCATGATCTTCAACATATAAGTGTTTTAGGGTCTTCAATCTTTGATTAGTCAGATGTTGCACCAGATTGGCAGGATTTGCCTGTCATTTGATGAAGCACCAAAGATACTTCTACTACTGCTGCCACCCAAGAAGCTTTGTAAATTTACCTGGAATTTCATTTATAAAAAATATTCTTACATTGTCTCCTAAGAGTTTTGAAACTTTCCTGAACTTTCTTTATCACTGCAGGAGAAAGAAATCAAAATAAGTTAAAGAAACAGATGCTGGAAACATGCAGACATATTTGTGGCTGGAGTTATTCTACTACTTGTACATTATGTGGTTTACCTCAACATGTGGAAAAATACAGTAAGTTCTTCCTTATGCAGGCTATAGTTACAGTATCACGTAACACAGTTGGTTTACACTTTCTGGCAAATATTTTATGATAAACACACAATATGCTGAATTTCTCTAAGTAACTAATATTTCTTTGCTTAAAGCTCTTTTTTAAAAGATTTATTTTATTTACTTGAAAGACAGAGAGAGGTAGAGACAGAGAGAGAGGTCTTCCATCTGCTGGTTCACTCCCCAGATGGCCACAACAGCCGGAGCTGTGCCGATCCATAGCCAGGGGCCAGGAGTCAAGAGCTTCTTCTGGGTCTCCTACTTGGGTCATCTTCTACTGCTTTCCCAGGCCATAGAAGAGAGCTGGATTGGAAGAGGATCAGCCGGGACTAGAAGCAGCGCCCATATGGGATGCCGGTGCTTCAGGCCAGGGCTTTAACCCACTGCACCACAGCGCCGTCCCCTGCTTAAAGCTCTTTTAGGAAGTGTGCGTCTTTCTTCTTCTTACCTTCCCCAAAACAATTCCAAATTCAAAAACATAGAAAAATATCTTTTAGTATATATGTAGATCATTTATTTATAGGAGCATGCGTAGTAAACCAGATCTATTAAAAAAGACAAAAAGGAAGACTCCAGAGTTGTCACTATATCATACTCGCTTACAAAGTAAGTGTACAACTTTCCTACCTGAGGTAGCATAGTTTCTCTCTAGTCACGGGAAAGGAAGGATGAAATTGACTTGTACAGTGCCTCCAGAGTTTATGCTCCTTGTAGTACCTTCTTCAATGTGGAATGGTGTTCCAGAAATCACCAAAATGATTTGATTGCATTGCTGACACTGTCAGAAAAATTCTCAAAAAGAGATTCTTGGCACCAGAGTCACTGAGAGCATTGCGCAGGGAATATCACGTTGGCATGGTGTGCAGAGTTGGGGAACATTGGCTATATGGTGTTACAGTGTGACTCTGCAGAAACCCGACACTGTAGAAGGTATTATCACATTGTAAACTCCAGTGCCCCTCTTCAGGAAGCAGGCTTGAGAGTCTGATGGATGTCTGATCAGTTTTTTTTTTTTTTTTTTTTTTGACAGGCAGAGTGGACAGTGAGAGAGAGAGAGAGACAGAGAGAAAGGTCTTCCTTTTGCCGTTGGTTCACCCTCCAATGGCCGCTGCGGCCTGTGCGCTGCTTATCCTGGTGTTTATCCTGGTCTCCCATGGGGTGCAGGGCCCAAGGACTTGGGCCATCCTCCACTACACTCCCAGGCCATAGCAGAGAGCTGGCCTGGAAGAGGGGCAACTGGGACAGAAACCGGCACCCCGACTGGGACTAGAACCCAGTGTGCTGGCGCCACAAGGTGGAGGATTAGCCTATTGAGCCGCGGCGCCAGCCTGATCAGTTTTATAAGTGATCCATGATGTCAAAATGTGCAACAGCCTTACCAATCACATTAGTAGAAAGGAAAAGCCTAACACAAATATACGACCAGCAGCTAAATGCTATGTATTATTCACAGTCTAAACCATCTACAAATCGACAGTATTATAAACATTAAAATTATATATTGAAGTACAAGGCTTACATTTTAAAATTGAAAACAATTTTGTAGTAACATTGCAGTCACCAAATAAGCCCATCATTTAGGAAAGTCAAAATTACTTTATGCTGGGGCCAGCGTTGCAGTGCAGTGAGTTAAACCACCATTTTGGTCACCAGTATCCCCTGTTGGAGTGCCAATTCAAGTTCTGGATGCCTCAGCTTTGCTCCAGTTCTCTGCTAATGCACCTGGGAGAGCAGCAGATGATGGCCCAAGTATGTGGGCCCCCACCACTCATGTGGGAGACCTGGGTGGAGTTCCAGCTCCCGGCTTCAGCATGGCACAGCACCTGCTGTTGCAACCATTTGGGGATTGAACCAGTGTATGGAAGATCTCCTTCTCTCTCACTCCGCCTTTCAAGTAAATAAGTAAATCTGTAACAAATTATTTTCTGTTCAACTAATGGCAGATTATGAGTGTTAATATTAATCAGTAGTGCACTGCATAACAGTGTTTTTTTTAATCAGTGATGGGTTGCATATAAAATGGTGGTGCCATCAGGTTACAATGGAACTGCTAATTCCTATCTCTTAGTTGACATTATAATTGTCACAGCATTGTAGGACAACACACTACACGGTCCTAAAAGTACAGCATATACAATTATGCACAGCACATAATCCTTGATAATTATAGCAAATAATTAGGGTATCGGTTTATTTACTTACTGTACTATGATTTTTAACATTATTTAGAATACAAGACTGCTATTTATTAAAAAAAAAAAGTTCACTGTAAAACAATATGGTGTGTTGAGCCAACCACAACCTCATACATCTTGTGGTTGCCACATTTCTTGTTCGAATCAAGAGGCCACAAGAAGTGACTGACCTAGCCTAGCTAGGTTTGTGTAGGTACATTTTGTGCTGCTGGCACAATGAACTTGCCAAATGACACATTTCTCAGAACATGTTTCTTATCGGGCAGCTATTTTTGACTTTGTGTGTTCTGGGTTATTTCTCAGCTCTGTAACATTATCTTTTTTTTTTTTTTTTTTTTTGACAGGCAGAGTTGACAGTGAGAGAGAGAGAGAGACAGAGAGAAAGGTCTTCCTTTGCCATTGGTTCACCCTCCAATGGCCGCCGCGGCCAGTGCACCGTGCTGATCCGATGGCAGGAGCCAGGTACTTCTCCTGGTCTCCCATGGGGTGCAGGGCCCAAGCACTTGGGCTATCCTCCACTGCACTCCCGGGCCATAGCAGAGAGCTGGCCTGGAAGAGGGGCAACCGGGACAGGATCCGGCGCCCCGACCAGGACTAGAACCCGGTGTGCTGGCGCCACAAGGTGGAGGATTAGCCTAGTGAGCCGTGGCGCCGGCTATAACATTATCTTTTAAACATTATTCAATCACATGAAACATTGGTAATCAAAATTTATTACTTAACATATTATCAGAAGAAATATGTTTTCTTACTCAAAAAATTTTTAGGAGATGTTGAAGCAGAGGAAAACAAAGACAGCATTGATTTCATCAACATCTCAGATGATTAAGTGCAACGTAAGGAGCAGGTTTTATGTGAGCATCTAAGGTGTACTTTCTATACAACTGATGATCTTCAAATTGCTCATGAAAATATGCATTATAAAATATGCACATGTTTCTTTTTTTCATTAAAATAAACACCTTTTAATTTTATTTTCATGAAGTTTTTGGAGTCATCTGGTATTTATAAAGCTTCATGGAAAATGCAACATCCCAGGCGGGTTATAGACTGATGAGAAAAAGGTGCGCATGTGTGTATGTGTGTGTGTACTTTAATTATCCCAATTTAATTAGTCCATAATATAATATATACTGTCTATGAGACTGCCTAGATTCAGCTTCGGGTAACCCAGGCTGCGTGGGAAAGCAAGTATCAGAATCTGACAAGCTAAATCAGTATTTCTTCTGCCTATGCTACATTATACTTGGGACTTATATCTCCATTCTGGTAGGACCCCACTTGGAATTATTAGTAAGAACACATGCTTGTTGCA